CATGTCCCCTCCGGGCAAAAACAATCGATGGTTTGTTTTGCTTAGTATGGGTTTGTGATGTCTTCTTGTTCGAAGGTGAATAAGGGAATAGCAGACGTTCTTTTTTTGTTACCTCGCACAGTCAAATGAATTTTTCTTCAAAGCTTGTAGCTTATCACATTAGTCACTGACAAGTGACACAATTTAGGCTATGTTCACGCTATACTGAATAGCTTTTCGTGGCGACACTAGCCTGCGTTGCTGGCGGGATTAGCGCAGGAGCGCTGTTTTCGCGGTGGAGCCGCGGAAAGAGTGAGTACAAGTCAATTTTAACCCCCTGCTACAACAGACCTTATTCACGATGCACACAATCTTTGCACGCGATTAAGGACTGATAGGATAAAAGCGATGTCACGTGGCTTCGCAGGAGGCAGACACGTGATAAATTTTTCCAAAAAAATTTTCCAAGAAATCGCGGTCGAGTTTGTTTATTCTTTACAACAGAAAATGAACAACTTTTCATTACGAGCCGCAAGGTCGATTTTCGTGCACGCACCAGGGATCCTTAATTTCCATGGAGATACCCACAAACTGGACTCAAGTAACTACAAGGCGTTAGTCTTGACAAATTTCCTTGCGCACCTCAGGTGTTCACATTAATCGCTTTCGTCAGTTCATCTGTCAATAAACTCATTTTAGGACAGGACACAAATTTGCGTCAAATATCAGAGCTTGTCTTCTGCGCGCCGAATTTATACCATCGGAGCGAGATATTTTAACTCAGCTATGGTTCTCGGCAAAATCACTTAATGAAAATACTTAAATTCATGGTTGGTGTTAAAAAAGGGAAAAAAAAGAAATATTTTTTTCGTTTCTTAAGCGAAAGGCAAAATCTAGCGCTTTATGAAGGTCGAATTCGAACCGTCCTAAGTAATAATTACTCGGTACGTTACCTGGTAAGTTACATATTGTCGCCGAAATGGTTTCAAAAGTTCAACGTGAAGAGTTCTGGATGTTATTTCGCATTATGTCCGAAGGACAGAAACTGTGTTCGCCGATATAAGATAAGAGAGACCTTTATTATTTAAAAGGTAGAGGAGCAGCTTGTTATGGCTCTCGCATGCGGAGTTCGAGCACATCGGTGAAGCCGGTTTGACGACACTGAGGAAAACAGAGGAAAATATTTACTTGCCTTTGGTATTGTGTATATCCTCGATCACTATACAATAACGCACAAATATTATAATTCAAAGGGCATTTACAACACGCGCCAAAAGAGCCGTGATCCCGCCAAAATGCTCGAACCATCTAACAGAGTGTAAAAAGGGGGCTGGTAGGCAACACACGACTTTTACCTCGTGCCAAAATGCTGCTTGTTCCAAAAATTGTTTTCTCTGGTGGGTATATTAAATTCTGGGTTCTACTCTTTGAATGAGTAAATGTGAATTTTGCCGCTTGTTTCATACTGAGAGGTCATGACACGCATATTGATTTTCTGCGGTTATTGTTTCTGGTCGGCATGATTTGTCCTCTGATGCAAGAGCACTTTCTTCGACCTCTTTTGAAACGTAAATCTCTTCCTTCGCGGCTAAATAAGAATTTTAGGTTGTTTAGTCTTCTCCAAAGTGCCTCCTGGATATGAATAGCTAAAGGCGATATTCTTTTGTCCGTGAATGTGATGGTTTCCTTCAATTTATGTCACGCTGGGCCCAGCTCGTTTAGTATTTTCTGCACGATGTTAGATTTTCACCGAAAGTGATTTACAGATTCAAATTTCGAGGAATGGATTATAGGAACGCATTTTGTGAAGAGAGATTTTTTAAGTAACAAGAACTCGGATCCTTAAATCGATCGTGTTTTAGCTAGCTAATTGCAATTTTCATATCCTGTGTTAGTTCGGATAATTCAGTAGGTTATTCTCTCCTCTCCCTCTTAGCTTACAGGCGGCGCGCCCAAGTTTAAGAGGTGAAGAGAGATTTTTTCAAGGGTAAAAAACTCGTAGCTTGAATCGATCATGTTTTACTATCTAGCCAATTGCAGATTTTATGAGCTATGTTAGTTTGGATAATTCAGTAAATTTTTCTCTCCTCTCCCTCTTAGCTTACAGGCGGCACGCCCAAGTTTAAGAGGTGAAGAGAGATTTTTAAAGGGGTAAAAACTCGTAGATTGAATCGTCATGTTTTAGCTAGCTAGCCAATTACAGTTTTCATACGTTGTGTTAGTTTAGATAATTCAGTAAATTTTTCTCTCCTCTCCCTCTTAGCTTACAGGCGGCGCGCCCAAGTTTAAGAGGTGACGAAAGATTTTTTTCAAGGGCAAAAAGCTCGTAGCCTGAATAGACCATGTTTTACTAGCTAGCCAATTGCAGTTTTCTTACGCTGTGTTAGTTTGGTTACTCTCTCCTCTCCCTCTTGGCTTCCAGGCGGCACGCCCAAGTTTAAGAGGTGAAGAGAGATTTATTTAAATTGAAACACTCGTAGCTTTAGTCGATCATGTTTTATTAGCTAGCCTATTGCGGTTTTTATACGCTGTGTTAGTTTGGATAATTCAGTAGGTCATTCTCTCCTCTCCCTCTTAGCTTACAGGCGGCACGCCCAAGTTTAAGAGGTGAAGAGAGATTTTTTCAAGAGTAAAAAACTCGTAGCTTGAATCGATCATGTTTTACTCCCTAAAAACGACGATAATGGAAAATAAAGCGGGTGGAAGTCATCATTGTTACGGCATTCAAAACTCATAGGAAGTGTGTCAGGCGAGATTTTCCATGGCGGCTTTGCCGAGGCGGCTCCGTCGCCAAGAAAGTACCGGGGGACAATCCCGCCAGCTACCCAGGCTATGATGCCAACAGCAAGGCCTGGGGTGGCACCAACCGTTCACACACATCGAACATCGTGCCGGTGTCACAGTGATATGGGCATCCACGCGTTTTGGGCTGCCCCATTCTCAAACCCCTAGTGATATGGGTATCCCCAGTGATCCTAGCCCTAACCTTGACCCAAATCACGAAGGTAATATGAAAGGGAGATGCCCATACCACTTGGGTTAACGGTTTGGGAATGGGGGGGGGGGTGTGGGATGCCCATATCACTATAACACCGGCGCTGTTGGCTGGGAGGGCTTGGGGCACTAAATTCCAGTCCTCAGTGGGTTCCAAGCCTCACTCCTATAGTTACTTCCGCGATGGGCCGCATAGACTACACAAAGTATGGCACAAAACCTATCCGGTATGTGACGCTCCACTTTCGATATCAGGGCAACGTAGTTTCGCTCCGTCACAGAAATCGCGCTGCCACAACCCTTCTTGTGAGTGAACAGACGCCCTATCCAGTATGATTTTCGTGGTGGCCCAAAATCTATCTGGTATAGCGTGAACTTAGACTTAAAGTAACTTTATCGTAATTACAAATCCAGCGTCGATGGGTTGAGGAGGAACAGGGACGACGAACCAAGGCTGCCAGTTGACGAGGGGGCGGGGGGTGGGGGTGGGGGGGGGATGGTGGAGGGGAGTCAATCTGACGCTCTAAGAGTGAACATACTAGAGGGCCCGAGGGCATGCTCCCCCGGGAAAAACTGAAATTTTCGGTTTCCTGAAGTGGCTAGAAATGCATATCAAGTAATCCTTTGATAATGGTGATGCATCAAAAAAGAGAAAGTCGAAAGCTGAGGCCACACCCCTTGAACTGGACACAGTAAAATGGTTCTAATCCTGTCTATTCAGTAACAATATTTTGTTAGGATGGAATAAACCATATACAACTACATTGATAAGTTTTTCCTCTTTGCACTGTGGAACGGCTCGGCCCAGTGCTAGGCTGCTTGATCTTCTGACGCTTCAATATCAGTCCTCGTCAGAGCGGATAAAGTTTGGGCGATGAAACGAGCTCTCCGCTCTTCAAGTGTTGTGTGATGCGGAGTTCGACTGGTGCAAGCGCTCTTTCTGCGCTTCCGTTGTGTTTGAATTCGAAGGCAGGCGAAATTTTCCTTTTTGCAAAGCGGATATCCTATTTTCTTTCTATGATTTTAGCCTACTGTGTGAAACAAAGAAGTTCGTTTCATAAAAATATTGAGAAACAACTTCATCTGTTCACGTCTGTATGCGTATAAGTCAAACTGTTTCGTCGTATAATGCCAAAATTTGAGTTTAAAGTGATGAATGCTTAGCTTCCTCCTTCCACTAAATATGACCTAATCGACTTTCGCCGTTTCGTTTGAAAAAGCTCAAAACTAGTCATTCATAATTCTCACATATGTTGAAGGGGATAACTTTTACATGACATAACAAAACATTAATTAGCTGGATATATTTGGATATAGTGACGTTGTACTACTTCAAACTTTTCCTCTCGGGTGCAAAGCGCCATGGCGATTCGATCACGTAATGCGTCAAAATTCCGACAACCGCATGTAAAAAAAAATTATTGAAAGTTAATTGGAAGATTTTTTTTCTCCGTTTTTCTCACTAAAACACAACGAAGTAAGCAGTAAAAGCTGAGTAGCAGCTAACCATGAAGTTCCGAGAAGCAGAAAGACATACAGTCTAACCTCTCTAATACGGAGACCAAAGGGACAGAGCGAAGTGCCCGTATTAGGGAGGTGTCCATATAAAAGAAGTCAGTATTATGACGTCACTTTTATGACTCCACTTACAGTTTTAAGTGTTCAGTACCTAAAACGAGGCTCACACTGGCCTTTAAACTGCATTTATTTTTATTGAATAATTCGCAGCACAAAGACACTGTCTTTCAGTAGCATACATCATTGTACAAATCATGGTACAAATTACTGTTTTAAAACGAAACGAGCTACAGCGCAATGCTGGATATAAAAAGTTTTAACGTAACGAAGCACTATTCTGAAAACGTCTTTCGCTATTTGCAAGTACAGTAAATAGTAACTACAGTACAAAATGTAATAGAAAAGATCTTCTCGCCATCTGTAGTTATTGAAGCGTTCAAAAAGTTGGTGGTGTTCCTCTGTACACCTTTCGCAAATCGTTGTTGGCTATACAGCGACTCGGCTTTATATCACCTTGCATAGATTATCAGCCAGCTCAGCCAGACAAGACAGGATTCACCTTGTGCAGATTCACCTGATCGGAATTCGGGATTGACTCGGTGTGACAAGCAGTAACTGAGAAGAACCTTTGGCCATAACCACATCTCATATGGTACATGAAAGGCCGTTTGAGGTTCCGACAGTATAGCCCTTGCATGTTCTGGTCCAATAGCATGGCCTGTTGGAAACTTTTTATTATATTCTTTTAGGTTGCCCGTGATCTCGAAACTCCAGTCGTAGCGATCTTTTTGAAAATACCATGCATAGCTGAGCACGATGTTTACGGGGGACATTTCTAGCTCCTAATCTCCTGTTATCACGTAAAACCTAGGCCAGACTTCTTCAAGATCAGTTGAGTTAAATCTTTTCAGTATGTACTTTCTGCAGTGCGTTAAGGTACCCCGGTAAATATATACCGGGAAATAAGTCATGAAATCAGCAACAAACGGCAGTCCTAGAACATTTTCGATACTCACTATCCAATGCCTTACTCCCCGTGTGAGATATCTGTAGCCATAGCCCCCAACTTTCTGCCGGCAAAAATTGTAGATTAAGTAACTGGGATGAGAAAGGCAGCGTCACTGTCCATCCAGGCAATTATGGAGTCTTTTGTATACAGATCGATAAAGAAACTGCTCCAAAGTTGCCTGATGTAACCCTTGGGATGCCTTGTCTTAGAAGAGAATGTGCCACTTTTTTGGGGGAGTGACTCATATACTACTTCGACTTTATAATTGGGAAAGTGATGTTTGGTTTCATCTATTACTTTTGCAGCAAATTCATAATCCTCTTTTGCTTCCTTATCAAGAACTATTAGACAATTGGGTCTTGAATATAAGAATTTCTATAATCAAAAAACGATAAGTCAACCATGTGAAAGGCACTTATTCTGCTCCTGCGAACATCGCTTGTTTGACTACGTCTATAATTCTATTATTTTGTTACATTTAATACCAGACTTCTTAGCAAACTGTTCAACAATCTTCATATTGCTCCATTCCAACTTACGTCCTTCTTTTATCTCAACACCAACTTCGTTATAATGACGCTTTAGAATTCGCCAACAGGTCAAGATATTGTTGCCGGTATTACATGGGCTTTTAATAGGATCGGTAATAAACTGAAGATCGTAGTTGAAAAGAGGCAAATTATCCTTGAACGACGCGGTATGATTGGTGCACATACGTACCTTATCCCCCGCTGCTCGGTGTGACAAGCAGTAACTTACAAGAATCTTTGACCATATCCACTTTCCTTCTATTTTATATGTATGAAAGGCTGTTTGAGGTTCCGACAGAATAGTTTTTGTATGTTCAGGTCCAATAGCATGGCCTTTTGGAAACTTTTTATTATATTCTGTTAGGTTGCTGGTGATCTCAAAACTCCAGTCGTAGCGATCTTTTTCAAAATACCAAGCATAACTGAGTACAATGTTTACAGGGGACAACTCGAGCCAGTCTCCTCCCCTCGTTTCGTAGAACTTAGGAAAAACCTCTTCAAGATCAGTGGAGTTGAATCTCTTCAGTATGTATTCTCTGCAGCGCGTAAAGGTATCCCGGTAAATGTATACCGGGAAATAAATCATAAAATCAGCAACGAAGGGCAGTCCTAGAGCAATTTCATTTGTTATTATCCAGTGCTTAACCCAAAACCTGTCGTACGTGTTATCTGAAGCCATTGCCCGTAACTTCGTGCCGGAAAAAACTGTAGACTTGGTTACTGGGGTGAGAAAGGCAGTGTCAGTGTCCATCCAAGCAATTATGGAATCGTTTGTATACTGATCAATGAAGAAACTGCTCCAAAGTTGCCTGATGTAACCCTTGCGATGAACTTTACCTGTCAATGTGCTGTTCTTTTTGGGAGGAGCCTCAAACGCTATTGCTATCTTGTAATCAGGAAAGTAACGTTTGTTTTCACGCCTGACTTTTGCGGCAAATTTGTGATCTTCTTTTCCTTCTTCATCAAGAACTATAGCTATCTTTCCAAATGAAGGAGGCCAGTAAAGTACCAAAGTCCTGAACAAATGACAGTAATAACGAAATCGGTGATCTGGGTTACTGCCAGACATTCTCACGAATAGCGTTATTGGAGCTTCTGTGATCTTTGTGGCATGGGATCCTGTAGTGGTTTGGCTGCTGTCATTCTGAACGTGTGGGTGGAGCAGCTCTCGGAAAGTAATACTTTTCCGAGCCACTTGTGTTGAAAATATGAACAGGAAGATGAAGGATACAATAATGCTGGCGAGGAGAAACTTTCTACAAGTCCATGTTTCTGACCAACCCATGTTTCACAGTTGTTTTGCCAGACGAAAACAACCTCCTTTGATTTACGAACCTAAAACACAGGGGAGAATAGACAAGATCACGTTATAATTGTGACAACTTAGATAACAGTGACAGTCACCCACTAACCTGAGAGCAGGCTCTATTTTCGTTTCGCTTTGAAAATTACATTCCGGCGGGCATGGCGAAACAAAAAGAGAGCCCGATACAAACCTTCTACGAAACGTCTGCCGCCCACTTTTTGGATTGATTGACATTTGCCGAATCATCCAATCAGAATTACTTCCGTTGCTTGTTTTTCTAGTATGCAAATTTTTCACGCGCGGGGAAAAATGCAGACTGGCTGACTTAAAAAATAGCTTTTATCTGTTAATTTTTTCAGCTAAAAATAAAACAGTCAGCACAATCACATTTAACTTCTTGCGAGATTAAGGGAGATCTCGAAGGTTATTTCTGTTGGCGTAGAAGGTAAAAAGTTTTCGAAAAGACGGCGACACGATGTTCTACTAGTTTTATTATTTTGGCTAGGCGCGCTCGAATTTAAAATACTGAAATTTCTATTTTTCTGTTGCCTTAATATTTTCCTCGGCAATTTTCCCCGATTTTCAGTACATAAATCTTTAAAAACAAAAGCAAACAGCCAACGAGCGAGGACACCAGTTTTCCTGGTTTATTTTTTACAAAAAGCGAAGGCAAACAACCAGTCTGTTACCTTAAGCCACCAGCTTTTATAATAATGCCTACAAAAATTCCTTGAACAGCGATGCGATATTTTTCGTCCAATACTTCACAGTTGGCGATTTAGGTTTCTTTCGCAGTGAGCCTCCGCTTGCGTACCCTGTTCAGAAGTCATTCCCGGCTAAACTTTCAAATGAAACCAGTTTTAAGATGGACGGTATTTTGATTTGCACTCGTTTGTTGGTAAATCAAAAGGCACCTTGTTAGCGGTCAACAACTTGCAGAGGAATGCAACTCCGCGATACACTCACATTACTTCCGTAAATAAAGCAAATATGGACAACCATATGAATTTTCTGAATTTCCATGGCACATATTAAGGCATATTTTCCTACCATAAGACCATAAAACAATAAAAAAGACAGCAACATCGATCCTTCTCTCAGCCGACGACGGATGATTCACGAAAAACAACCACGCGAGGAATAAGCGCTTTCAACTTCCGGCGTTTCCGACAGCCAATCAGATCTTGTGGCATTGTTCTAACAGCCAATCAGCATTACGGCCAAAATCTGGTCGTAACGAGCACAAACGTGAAGGAGTTTGGATCAGGCCCAATTTTAGCGCTGATCGTTAGAAAGAATGTATGAGAACCGCTAAAATTGGGCCTGATCTCAGGTTAGTCACCCACAGGTGGTGTAAAAATTGATTAGAAAGCTGATGACTAAATGTTTTACTCCTTTTTTAGAATAAGACCGAGATCGTGAGAGGCGAATTTTACTGCCACGGGAAACCCTTAACTATATACTACCTCATATGCTGTTCTTTAAATTACTGGCCTCAGTTGAACTCATTTAAGTTTCTCGCTAGACGCGGAATTCTCATATTTGACACCTCAAATTAGATTATCTAATGGGTATCTGATACCCAGCTAGCAGAGGTTTTTCCCTTGCATGGCATTTAGCGTTTACGAAGTCGTTCGAGTGATGCTCGAACGTCACTTCGTAAACGCTAAAGGCCACGAATGAGAGAAACCTCTGCTCGCATGGTACAAATTGGACGATACCTCACCGAATTTTCCCACATTTTCTTTAGCTTTGTGAAATCACAATTTGTTATAAAGCCAAATGTGGGTGACACCACATGATGGAGCAGTTTGGAGGTAGACTATAAATTGTTGCTCTCTCTTTCCCTGCGTGCGCACTACGCGAAAACAAAATCTGGTGGTATCGGCCGTTTTGACTCATGACCTTGGAAAAAGATAGTAAAGACTGTCTTTGCCTTTCGTCAAAAGCGATACAACTTTGAACTCACATATAAGAAATTTTTTTACAATGCTCTGTGTTATATCTTTCTACAATTATATTTAAGAGTCTATAACATAAAGCGTTACAGCCGCAAATGGACGTTGCACTGTTTATTTATTTAATCAAATGTGACACTTCATTGATGTTTAGATGAAACGCCGGTAAAACATAATCTTGGTCTTCGTTCTAGCATGTTGCCCGGTTTATCAGTACTTTATTCTCCAAGCTGATTTGGAAATGCATTTCGAATATTGCCGATAGTCTGGTTTGGCTCTCATTTCATGCTTTCGGAAACAACTTTATCTGGTCCTTCGAGCGGGATCGAGCGTATTAAGCAACTTTTAGCATAGTGTCTTATTTTCACGGGCCAGTACTTTCTATACGAGTACGATGGAAAATATGGATCATAAAGATGCCTGGCAATGCGGTACATTTCCGTGATCCTAAAATCTTTTGGTAAGGTTTGGCAGCGGGGCGCTCCTTACATATAATTTTGTACAACGGGATAGGCTGCTTCGGACCAAACCGCATCAAAAGGAAATGGCCTTGACTTTTAGATGTAGATCAAGATCAGTGGCCATCCAAGCATTTGCGCAAAATGAACGGTAAACCGATCAAGTGGTCAAAAGGTGAGAGGAGAGGTGAGTTTTTCTGAATTCGAAGCTGTTATTAGGATACAAGAGCAACTGTGCATCTTTTGTAAGGAATGCGACCGAAAATTTTAAACGTCCGCTATTCAATAAACAATAGAAGGCTTACGTTCTAAGAAACAGACATAGCCCCTAAATGCTTATGTAATAAATAAAACCAATACGGTTTAGAAAGATACCGTTTTAAAAACTTTACTGAAAAACAATTACAAAGATTTCTTTATAGGTCTATCGAGCATTCGTTTGGTTCTTTTCTAGGCCGGAAAGATCTTACCCTGAGATCGTCCTTGTGCAAATAAATCCATTTCAATTTTCCATTGCAATAGTGTCTTATTTTCACAGGCCAGTACTTTTCATACCAGTACGATGGAAGATACGGATCATAAAAATGCCTGGGAATATGGTACATTTCCGTGATCCTAAAGTCTTTTGGCAGGGTTTGGCAGCTAGGCGCTCCTTGCATATAATTTTGTGCAACGGGATAGGCTGCTTCGGACTAAACTGCATCAAAAGGAAATGGCCTTGACTTTTTTGCAATTTGCGGGGTAGATTTGACTACAGGAGGCAATTTTACTGATGATCTAGCTTCGCAGGCAATGTTTTCCTTGTTACTGGTCGTTTCGACTGTTTCGTCCGATTTTGCGGAGCTGGATGGATGTCGACGACAGGAGGCGAAGATCTCACTCAATACTTGCTTATCACTCGGCATGTCTGGGCGATTGTCAACGAAGATATAACCAAACGCTCATTCCGTTTCTTGAAAATAAGCTGACATGAATCGCTTGATTCAAGTTGATGACGTAAACCCCTAGGGTATTCTGACGTCACTTGTTCCTCGCTCACTGAAAATAAACTATGACATCATCCCATCTTAATGAGATGTATGACGTCATCTGTGTTGAGGTATTCCTGCGCAAGTTCCTGCGCATGGAAAAGGCCTATCCGGTGCCTACCCCACTACTCAATACACAGGGTCCAGAGGAGATGTTTTTGTCGTTAGAACATCAAAACCCGTCGAAAACCTCTGAAATAGTGGTTATTTTGATCGCCTTACAGTTTCGTTACACATTCTATAGACCGCAAACCAAGAGACTGTGGGCTTGCAAGATAGGCTAACAGTTCGACTGTCTTCGGTCACCCTTCGGGCGACGTACCGTGCGCCAGCGAGGATATGGCTTGCGGTTATTGATTTTCAAAATGGCGAACAACGAAGTCGATCTGGGTCAGATAAGAAGCGAAGAAATCGTTTACAGTACATTCATAAAGATCCCATTAGGCTAATTAATCGTGCTAAGCCACAGGTATAGAGATTTTTCAAGGTGAGACTTTAAATTAGTAATTCATTTATTTACACGAAACTCCTCTGGACCCTGTGCTCAATATCGATATAATAAAAAATTCATACTTGGCTCCAAAGCAGGCGGTGTGCGTCACGAGATTCGACTAATCAGAATGCGTCATTTGTAGGGTGATTTTCGCGCTTGGAAAGAACCGTTTTCAGAGGTATATGTGAAGAAATTTTCGCTTTATTCTAAGCTTGTGTTGGTAATTTCGACACTATATATACCGCCGTGGAAAGTTGTTGGAACACTTTATCTTGATAGCAGTCGCGTTACTTTTAAATATTTTGCTTTCTTGAGCTTTTGTGACACGTTTGAACTGCTCGGTCATGTGCAGGCCGCCATGATGATTTGAGTGTTGTTTTTGCCGTTCTTCTTGGATTCATTACTGGTTACTGTTAGCAGTTTTATCGAATTATTTTGGCCATCTTATTACTTCAACCTTTCTTCTTTGCAAATTTCGGGGTCTACCCGGGTCTACCCCAGTTAGTTTTCCCGTTATGAGCAGTTGAAAGTGTCTTGGAATTAAGACATCGTCTCAGCCAAGTGGCACAACTCCCGGGAAACGGGCTGAGAAAACATGCCGAAGCGGAAGCCGACGTGAAGCGAGTAACGCAAATCCAGGAAGAGTTTGCTGTATTTTAAACCAGAAAAGGTAAATAAGTTTGAATATTGTAATAACCGTTGGAAAGAAAACATTTTTCACAACCCAGTGCGGAAACTGAAAGCGTGACTTTAAAATAATTTGCATGCGCTGTGTGGTGTGTGTAAATCTTTATGTAAACTTATCTGAGGGAATAAATTGTTATAAATCTCTACCAAAACAGAAAACTATTATCGAAGATCCAGACAACATCATACAGGATTTTAAAACTGAGGTTAGGTTTTACTTTATTAATAACAAAATCGATATACTGTGCTCACTTCAATGAACGCACAGACAAGATCATGGTTTATTTCTCATTTTCTGCGGATGTAGCTTCGGTGAAATTCCGATTGTGCTGTAGCTGTTCGGCTCTTTCGGCCTGTTTTCCCCTTGCCTGATAGAAGATTTATTTGCGCATAAGGATTTCAAATGGGCACTGTTTTCAAAATAATATAAACTTGTCGACGAAAATAAAATTGTTATGAGAGACAATTTCTCACCTTGCTGTTTGCTCGCGCTCCCCCTCCTTGGCCGGTAATAAAGTCCATCAAATATATAAACACTTCTGATGGACGAATTTTTTTCTTAGTTAAGTAAATCCAGGTATGAACTACAGATCTATTTCACTATGAGATAGAAATATACATATAAACCAAACAGTATATAAAATCTTAATATGAGAAGCAGGAAATTAGTCGCCGCTCAAAGTCGGCTAGATCGCACGATCGTCTCCGAATCGCGATAAACTTATTGAAATTGTCTTGTGAAGCCAATAGCAGGCATCTAAGGCCACCATGAGATCTTGAAAATTCTCCAAATCGCTCTCCTTCGTAATGGAAGCAGTGTTTTGATCCCTGGGTTTGATTCATCTCTCTTTATACGAGATGCGAACTCGACCGTGTTATGATAATAATAAAATAATCCTAAAGAGTCGCCGAGGCCCTATTGTTATTCAATTGTTTGAGGATGATTATGTTGACACACTTAAAATAACCTCAAGATTGAAACAGCCTTGAAGTGTCCGCGTAATCTAATTTCGTTTAGTTTAAAATTATGATTTTTTCCTTACTGTTTTTTTCTCTTCCATCCATCTGGAAACCCTTAGCAAAATACACAGGAATAAATGTGGAACTGAACTCAGCCTATCTCAACATAGATGTCTCTTTGCTTTTCGTGTAATTTCTTGTCAACTGTTTACAATCAATATTACCAGGGGCGGATCTAGGGGGATGGTGGAGGGGGTGCGCACCCCCCCCCCCCAAAATGACCTGCGGTTTTCTAATACAACTGGTATTCCGCAAAAAAAAACTATGTGGTTTATTGGTGTTGAAGTAGAGCAAGAGACGAGTGCACCCCCTCCCAAAAAAAATCCTGGATCCGCCCCTGATTACTTATAGACAAGAGAGATACAGAACAAATAAAATAAAAAATTTTTTATGGCTTTGAGAAAAAATATAGATTCACCAGATCCATAATAATCTATTTAAAACTACAAAAAATGTTTGTTGCATAAAAGTTAATATAGCATTGTTTTAATTAATATTTGACTGTATTTTCCGTAGAATAACTGGTAAAATTAATTTTAAAAAGAAATTAACGTCAGCGAAGGTTTATAATTAATTTTTGTCGCAAGTGTAGCGCACGGATCGCGCGTGGATGAAGCGGACTGCTGAAAGTGCCTTTCATTTCTTTTTCGCAAAAATCTGTCATTTCCAAAGTCGGGAATTTTCGTACTCGCCTTTCTTTATCCGAGATTTCGTCCGATCTTATTCGGTGTAAACTCGTCAGGTACCCATGGTTCTGTTTGGCGGGGCCAAGGAGCTTTACATGTGTTGATAGGAGACAATTCTGTCGTTGTACCATAGGGGACAGCGGTGTTCCGCTTGGGCCGTATTGTATGTGTAAAACGAAGATGGCTGCACGTGCCTTGAAAATAAAGTGTTGTGTTCTCGAAAGCTGTTGTTCCTTTGATGGAAGCTTTCCCAGCCGGTCAACATGGTGTCAGAAGTAGACGAACACGCGCCTAAAGTCAGGAGGTTTCGTCCATAGTACGGTCAGTTTATGTTTGAGAACGAATTGTGGGAGTTGTACGAATTGTTCCTGCCATTTTCGGATGATTAATGGTTCTTCGCTGGTTTATACAGTAATACAAATCCCGAAATTCGCCGACAATCAAATTCTGTGCTGACTTATTCCCTGCTCACAGATGTCCTTCCGCTATAAAGTTTAAAGTAAGACTAGAATGCGCGTGTGCGAATTGATCAAAAGTCCTTTTAATTTCTAAGGCTTCCTTTCCGGCAAATAAAATAAACTGAATGTAAAATGTGAAAGAGAAATAGCGAAAAATTCAACTTCTAATTAAATATAGTTTAGAATAAACTATTCTCGAAACTGAGAATGTTTTCATCAAAGCTGTGTAAATCGACCTGAAATTGTGCATGGAACCTTGCGTTTCCTGTATTTATCTCACCTATTGTATGAAATATGTGTGAAAATCTTCCTTATGAATCGGTATATTTCAAAGAGCTACACAACGAACAAGAATGCTATTGACCAACAGTATACTGAGCGGGGGCAGCTGCATGTAGTGTCAACTATTACTAGTTATTATTTTATTATTTATACTCATTTTACTAGTAATGACATCAATTGATAGGTAGTATGGATTTGGCAGACTCTCATATGGTTTTATATGTTTTTTTTATTATTCAACTGGCTGCTTAAAGATTCGATGAAACACAATTACGATTATGAACTGGTGATAAATAAATTTCTTCGCGGCCAAAACTTTTTAAATTGTTTGTAACTGGCGCATATAAACCCCTTTTGCAGCTAAAAGGTCAAACAGGGGTTGTTACGCTCGCTAAACCGTTGGAATAAAACAGCCTAAAAATAAATGAACAGAATTGTTAAACGTAAATTAGTTTTTGTAAAAGTCTGTTCACCGTTCAGTTTTATCCGATTTACAAACGCGGAAAAAATCTAAAAAAGAAAAAAAAAAGACGTCCGCAGGAGCCTATCCTGAGTCCTCGTTTTACAAGTCCGCCTTATACTAGTCCGCGTTTTATTACAAGTCCAGGTTTTACAAGTCCGCGTTTTACTAGTCCAGTCCAGTCCAGTCCGGTCCAGTCCTCCCAGTACAGTGTGCCCAGATCGACCGGACTGATAGCAACAGCACATTTCTCGAAGCGAATAAAACAAGACACAAGAAAAAACCAACGAAAACAAAGTGATGGGCCGATTTGCGCGACACGAGGTATAGTCGAGATGAACCTGCATAAATCACTACAAGCCCATAAAACTAATAACAAATGGCAAACGCCGAATAAATCTGGAACGTAGAAAATAGCCAAGGCAGCTAAGCCATAGAACCGCAGATGACTAATTCCAAATAACAGGATGAAAGCGGTCGTCTTCCGTGTAATAGCCCCCAAGTGTGTACATCGCGCACTGATATTTGTGAACAAAACAGAACTGAGATGTCATGATAATGAATTCTAAATTCGAACCGGAAAAAATTGAGCATAAAAGCACCTGCCGTGCGTACTGGCAATGGAAGCTTAACACTTTAACATCGCTTTAAAAATAATGCCAAGAGAATAAAAGACGAGAAAACAAAAGGGCCCGAAGAATAAACTAGAAAAAAGTAATGTTTTTACTTCTTATTGAGATGGTAGTCTTTACACTAGAGCCTAAATAAGCTAAGAAATATTACAAGACAAGTAAATTTTAATTACTTCAAGTAAAATAAAGCTTCACACACAACCGATTCTTTTTTACTTCAGGGGCGCTTTCCATTTAACCCAAAATTTCGGTAATTTCGGTTGGTACATCAAATGGAACGGACCATTTCGGTTTGGTCCGACCGGAATATTCGGGACCAGCTTTGAAGGTGGTCCACTGTGACCGGTCTGGTCATTTCGGTCGGTCGGACCGAAATGACCCTTTCCATTTGCCAAAATTGTTGTCCCCAGTACCGCTCTTTTCTATCCTGCTTACAAGGGTAGTCACACTTCGCCATCCGTCAAAAGGAGGTCCCGTCGGAACTTCTTCCGATGATGGAATCCGACGTGACCCGAGTCGCCTTCGTGTTGTTGGCCTAAAATTAGCTTTGTGTGAGCTCGTCGGCTAACAAACTGAACAAACCGTAGTAGAAACGTTTTTAATTTATTATTAACTAAAGAATACGTCTAATCTGAAGAAAAATGATCTTTCTTTTTGCTGGGAGCAAGACTTTCCCAAAAATCTCTAAACCTCCCTTTCATGGATGGCTGATTACAACTACAACGGCGCTACATCGCTTGGCAATCCCTCAAAAGGAGGTTGTCTAAGAACCGGAAATTGAAAGATTCAAAGGGCCAACAAACAGTCAAAACGTACTGTGTTATGTTTGGTATGCGTATTCAAAACACTTTTCATTGCTGAATTAAATGTCAAAAAGACTATTTCTTTAAGAAACCCGTGCTCTTTTCTTTTCAGTAATCCACATTACTTTGAAGATTATTTCGTTCTGCAGTCTTTATAATACAGTTTGCCCAGGTCTTTATTCTTATCTGAAGAACTGAACTTTCAACAAAAACTCAAAACCTCCCTTTGATGGATGGCTAATTACAACTAAAAGGGCGCAACATCGCTTTGCAATCCCTCAAAAGGAGGTTGTCAAACTGAACCGGAAATTGAAAGGTCAGTTATAGATGAGTGAATCTCGCCGAAGAGCAAACAAAGCCAGGAAACTGGCGGGAAATTCGTCTTCCTTTTGTTCGCCGGGGTTGTTCCAGCTGTTGTTCGCTTCCAGTTTCAAAGCAAGGAGATATATGCGTGAGATATGTGCCTCTGGAGCTGTTTGAACGCATTTTGCACTTGCCTTCCGGCCACTTCACTTGCAGTCTAATGTCATTTAATTTGCAAAAAAAATATATTTTCTAACATGACTAAAACTAAGTTAATATGAGGGAGATCTGTTGCATCATGGTTGATTGCATTGAACAGCTGCTACGGTAACCCTTACTGAATAACAACAGCAACTGCACTGACCCTTTAATAACAGCAACAATAGCTTTATTTGCACGGCTATATTTTTTTCAGTGGCGCAAATTGGCCCCTGAACAGGAACTTATCATGATTTAGACCTCACTTAGATATCTGATTACCAGCACACACAGTTTTTAGTATTTTGTACATACAACAGTTTTTCGCACAATTACGTATCCTTACAGCCATCAACGGTTTTCATGTACAGACAAGCTGCCATTTCACCTTTCATTGTATTTCATTTGCCCACACGTACTACATGGTTCCTTACAAAGGATTCAACGGCATTGATATTGGAAAAAGGCAGTGTCACCAAGGCCAACAAACAAAAAATGAAAAATAACCAGGGCTCCGTTTTTGCTATATTTAGTTGTCCGCGCCTTTTACTCCTACGAAAAAATTTAATGATAGGAAACTGGATTATAAGTTGCTTTCTCGTTAACGAGTCTTAGTTTCCTGTTAGGTATTTCAAGATGATTGCATCGTTTTTTAGAGCAAGAATTGCGTGCTTGTAGTCAAAGATAACGTTTAAATTTTGACTGAAATGATACAACCTCAATGACAACTCCCCTTTAAATAAGCTACTGTTTAATTATCTTTGTTCACTGCTCCCAAAATGGTTCTCCTTCCTGTTTTTACCTTGTTTGGTTTACATTTTGGGCACTTCCGTGGCAGCTTTGATGTGATGGCCCATTGTGGGGCTAAGGAGCACTGAGGATGATACCAACCACGGCATCAACAACACTGTATGTACTCTTGCTTGTTATTTGGGAGCCTACAAAGACAAAAGATTGGCACAGAATTCCTGTTGCAAGATAGATGGCAGTGCACTCTTCTGTTGGTCTTGGGGAAAGGTTTCATTTTTCCTGATTCTAGGCAGCTAACAAAGTGTTGGCGCATCTCGAATTGGCTGTACCTCTGTGTTGCTGGATCTAAACCATGGCACAAGTCGGTTGCAAAAGCTAAGGCCATGAGACCGCAGTCGCTGCCGCCAAGCTGCTTTTGCACCTTTTCATTGCAGAATGTTACAGTGTCCTGTTGGTAGAAAAGCATGCGGCAAGCGTGGTCAATCAAAACTGAATTGGGCTTGCTGTACAAGCTATCAAATATTTTTACTATGCCAGCCTGGCAACCAATGGTGCTTATGCACACCCAGTGTTTACCCACGTTAATTATCTGGACAAACTCGGATGTGGCCGGAATAACAAGTGATCCTTTAACAGCAGGATCCTGAAGTCCATCGATGAATGGAAATTCCTTCTTCAGCAGTACTTGTCCTGCATGTATTTCGGAGTCATGGAGCCAGTATGTGGGCTTTAGTATACCAAACTTACTTTCCATGTAGAGGGTAAGCTTAGGGTCATCAGAGGAAAAGCTATTGATTGTGAGCCACGTTGTTGCATCTTGGGAGTCATTGTCATCAAGAACTATAATGGGGAGTGTCCCATCACAGATTGAATTTGTATGGGAGGAAGTCCCAAGTGATGTGGAAGGAGATGCCGGTGTCTTAGAAGTGGCCGATGCCATGGCAGGAGCATATACATAATAGGACGCATAACAGGCTGGTGCTTGTGTACCACTTGCTGGTACAGCTTGTTTGCTAGGTGCTGGTGCTGGTATTTGTGTGCTAAATGCTGGTGCTGGCGCTGGTGCCGGTGCTGGCTGTTGTGTGCTAGTTGCTGGTGCTGGCGATGGTGCCGGTTGTTGTGTGCTACTTGCTGAGGCTGATGCTTGTTCTGGTTGTTATGTGCTAGTTGCTGAGGCTGATGCTGGTGCTGGTTGTTGGGTGCTAGTTGCTGAGGCTTATGCTTGTGCTGGTTGTTGTGTGCTAGTTGCTGAGGCTGATGCTTGTGTGGTTGTTGTGTGCTAGTTACTGAGGCTGATGCTTGTGCTGGTGTTTGTCTATTACTGTTGTTGCCTTGCTTGACATTTACTATGTCCAGTTTGGGGTGTTTTGATGGCCTGCTATCTTCGATGTCACGCAACGTTACGTTGTAGCATCTTTTTAACGTGTTTGCCTTTTCTACAGCACGTCCTGCATACGGGTTCTTCTTGGGAAGTACCGGTAAACTCTTAAAGGCGAGGCTCTTTTCTTTTTTTCTGGGTTTCTTCTTCGATATTGCCATACGGGACGAACTTTGGGGCTCTAGAATGACACCTTCTTCTTTCGGGGCAGCCTGTAAAAGAAGCCTGTGGCATTCTGTGAGCTTTGTCATCACACTTTCCAGGACATCTGCATCTTCTACTCCCTCTACTATGTAGGTCATGTTCCTTATCTGGCCTAACAATTCGCGACATTTCGCAGCGCTAGTTCGGGGTCGTTTAGCTTTCCGAGGAAGATCATGGATTGTTACTGTTCCTTCTTCTGCTTGCTTCGTTTGGTCTTCTACTTGGGCCTCTGTAACTAGTTCTTTACTTTCGGAAGGTTCTTGCTCGAGATTTTTGCGCGCACTCGTATACCTGGGCACAAACAATTCTTCGTCCAGAGTAAAGAAAGGGGAATCTTTATATGGACCTGGCAGGTTATCAAACGACCACGAGGAGAAGTGACGAAATACGGCAAAGAAGTGCTTGCATGGTAATCTCTGTCTTTCCCAGTCGTAACACTCACAGCTGGGCTGATCAGTTCCAAACTCGACTCTGTAGCTCTGTTTGTCCTCCGTACTACTCTGGCTTCTCACCGCAAACACGCCATTTGTAAGGTCAATAGCCTCGACATGACTACTTGGGATCGATTCCGCAATCGAGCGCTTCTCTAGACAGTGGTTAATTATGTAGTGCGGTCTTTCTTTCAAATAGGCTGGGATGTTTGGGTTGTAGCGGCGAAAGGTTGCTTGCAACGTTGTGTTTAACTCTACGTACCTGCAAGGGGCAAAAAGCCGTTTGTTTTGTTAGCTTTTTATTTGACTCTTCAAATTCTAATAGCTTTGTATTATTTCTTATTATATTACGATTATCATCATCATGATTTATTATCATTATTATTATTATAATCATCATTAAAATTGTTGTTATCTTTAATATCAACATCATCATCATCATCGTCATCATTATTATTAGTATATAATTATTATTAACAACAAAAAAGGAGTGAAGAAAAAAGCAAACGGGGGACA